AAAAAAAAAAAAAAAAAAAAAAAAAAAAAAAAAAAAAAAAAAAAAAAAAAAAAAACCTCCTCTATTATTTACATGCTATCAAATTTAAATTTTAAGACAAAATTTATTTATTTTATTACTATTACTATTATTATTATTAATTGATTTAAAGTCCCGCACGATAGTGATACAATCAATTTATATAATACGTCATATATTTGTAGACCCCATTTAGCACTAGTGGAGGCGTGACTTTAAAAGTATTAAATGAATTCCACTATTCATAGTACTATTAAGAAATATACAACAAGTGTTAAAATAATAATGAGTTATATTGCTATGACACATGTCTAGGATCCTAATCCGAATTTTATGGCTTTGATATTCTTCTGCATCTTCTACGACATGGTCACGTTATGAACTATTCCGCAAATTAATACGAATTTTTTCGATAAATTTTGTCCTCACTCACACGCTTTCTAGGAAAATTCTCAAGAGGTCACTCGACATAGAATTATTTCAAGTGAATTACGAGTACTGAAAAGAAAGGTGCACCTACACCTTTTTGGTATAGCATTATCAAGATTACTCTCAGTTTGATATGATTTTAGTTATTCATGTATCTTTTCTTCGCTCAATTGTCACATTCCCACGTCTTATTCAGAGAAGTAAGGCTCTAATACCACTTATAACGCCCCATGCCCAAGATTTGAATTTTTGGATTTGACACCTATGTGCCGCAACATTCCCATACAATCGGGGCACATTATTTATCACTTCTAAAAGTGGGTCATTTCAACGTGTTATGTCTTTATTTACATTAGATTACGCAGCCGGCCGCTCATTTATAGCTTATTAATGTATAAAGTTATATATGGTAAATGACATATTATACATCTATGTATGATAAATGACATATAAAGTAATAGTCATGTCAAGTAAACAACTATGTTTAAACATGGAGAGTAAATAAAGTTATATACGGTAGATAGTTATATTATAGTAAATGATTAAATCTGGTAACGCTATATATATATATATATCTAGTAAACTGAACTATATATATAACATTTTCTCTAAAGATTTAAATTCTTTGTATTTTTTATTACCTTATACTTCAATTCATCAAATAAATCTCTAGTCAATATTTCTCTTTGCATTTTCTCTCTCCTATTCTCTGTTACTTTTTGAATTTTCTCTCTCATGTTTTTTGTGTTCAGCTAGATGAGTGTGTGTCGTTGTGTGATCTTAACAATTACTATCAAAGGTAGGCGAGATTCACCATACTCAAGATGGAAAGCTCTAAAAAGGATTACTAATCCTTAACTTTTGGAGAAATCCTTCATTAGTGATGATGAATGACCGAGTTTTCTAACCGAATAATTGAGATTCACCACAAGACCAAAGAGTAAACAAAATCATAAATCGAAGGATGATAATGATTCTATAAATTTATCAGAAGAATTGAGGATGTTCTAGTTCTCAGCGTGGGAAGCCCAATTGAATCGATAGTGTTAGGTATATTCTTGGTCTCAAGAAGAACCTGATTTTTCTATTTGTCAGGTTTGAAGTTATCCATATAAACAGTTAGTCAATATTCTTTCTTGCATTTTCTCTCTCCTATTCTTGCGTTCATTTAGATCGAATATGTGTTCTTTGTATTCATCTAGATCGTGTTTGTGTGTTTGTGCGATACTAAAACCTTTTTTAATCATCCTATCTTCAAGATCACTTTCATTCAAAAATGGTATCGGTACATTCATATACCCTCCTTTACTCGAGGTCGTATAAACATTGACAATATTAGAATAATTAGATTATAAAGACAGAAATCTAAAAGTTCCCACGATCTAATCTAATAAAACTATTTATATGATCAAATTTAAAATTTAACAAAATATAGGTTACTTTATCTGCCACTAACTAAACTTTTGTATTCATTTCTTTATTTGATTATGAAAACATGTCTTTTTGAAAGAATATATAAACAAAACTTTATAGATAAGTTCACACACATAAATACGCAAACTTTGCACACCAAATCTTTCAATTTCTTGAGAAGCTTCTTCCATTAACACAACAAAGTTAATGGATAACGAAGAACATTTCAATGGATCATTCTCAACTCCATCTTCTCAAGATCTGAATTCCGAGCTTCTCAATGATCATCATCTCTCAACTCTTCTTTCTCCAAATCACAGGCTTCACCATTGCACACCACAAGCCAATCAACAGGTTTCCAATCTTTTTGTACCTTCAACTCTATTGTTCTTTCTCTTTTAGTACGACCAACGACCTCCTCAACTGACATGTTGGGAGACGAGTCATGAGATTCATCATGGATTTATAAGTAAGAAATAGTATCTCCATTGGTATGAGGCCTTTAAGCAAAGCCATGAGAGGTTATGCTCGAAGTGGACAATATTATATTATTGTGGAGAGTCGTCATTCTTAACCGACTATTAAGAATTAAACATTTGTTCTTGATGAATGATTTTAATATAGGAAGAGTTGATGGAAACCCTCATGAAGTTGCCCGCAATTGGATTAAAGCTTCAAATTTCACCCTCTTTGATGAAACAAATGCAACGAAGAACACAATCCAAAAGGAAGAGGATAAACCTTGAACAAGATAGTGAAAGGTTGAAGGCCTCGACTTTAGGTGCATTGATGCTTCAAATTGGTTCATGGCAGGTAATTTTATCGAATCTTCGAAGAGGAATCTCACATTGGCTAATTAAAGAAAAGATCATTGCGTTTTGAAGAAACCAATGTAAAGTCGTGAAGTCGTGAGAGTTCATGTTGAAAGTAGGCAATGTTACGACTTCATGTTGAAAGTAGGCAATGTTATACCATTGTGGAGGGATGTTTTAATGTTTTTGTTTGATGCGGCAACAACAACGTTGTAAAGATGTCTTGTTTTGTTGGTGTGTTTTGTTTGTGGTTCAGGTAGTGGCTAGAAATGAAGGTGACTTGGTGGCGAAGTTCTATTTTGCAAAGAGGATGCTAGTGTGGGAGATTTTGAGAAATGGGTTGAAAGAAAAAGTTGAAATTGAATGGTCAAATATTATAGGAATCCAAGCTTTCATGGAAGAAAACAAACGAGGAATCTTGGAAGTCGAGGTAATTACTCTTAAAAACGTAGCAGACCTTCGCAATATATTTTTTTTTTTTTTTTTTTACATATCGAAAATGTCAAAACTAAGACTGTAATTCAATCAGTCCTGTTTGAGTTTTCCCTCAAAATTTTTAAAACAAGTTTATTAGGGAGAGTTTCTACACCTTTGTAAGCAATGTTTCATTCCACTCTCCAACTAATGTGGGATCTCACAATTCACCCCCCCTTGGGAGTCGAACGTCTTCGCTGGCACACCGCCCAATGTCTGACTCTAATACCTAATGTGGGATCTCACAATTCACCCCCCTTGGGAGTCGAACGTCTTCGTTGGCACACCGCCCAATGTCTGACTCTAATACATTTGTAACTACTCGAGCCCACCACTAGCATATATTATCTTCTTTGAGCTTTTCCTTTCGAGCTTCTTCTCAAGATTTTTAAAACGTATCTATTAGAGAGAGGTTTTCACACCTTTATAAATAATGTTTTGCTCCCCTCTCCAACCGATGTGGTATCTCACAATCTAGCCCCTTGGGGGCCAGCCTCCTCGTTGGCATTTCGCCCGATGTCAGACTATGATACCATTTGTAACAACCCAAGCCCATTGGCCAGTAGATATTGTCCTCTTTGGTATTTTCATCTATAACTGAGAAATTTCCACATCTTTATGAGAAATGTTTGGTTCCCCTCTCCCAACTAATGTGCGATCTCACATTCACTTCTACTATTGCCATCTTAAATTATTTTTTAAGTTTTAAGAGATTCATCCAAGTAACAAATATATTTCTATTATCTGTCATCTTACAACCACTATCAAGACACCATGTAAACTCTACGACATTGACTCGAGCACTATATGTAATTACTCCAATTTTCATAGTTATTTGATTATGAGACAGGTTGTTTACGGCTTATCCCGTTTTTTCTTTTTTGGGGTTTTTCAGCTGCACCAGCCGCCAAAATTTTACAAAGAGATCGAACCCGAGCCACGAAAACACACACAATGGACCGATGGATTGGATTTTACAGAAGGCCAAGCTTATATAAACAGGTTTAGTTTGTTTTGGTGATCACATGAGATGAATTAATGATCAAGAGATCTAAAAAGTTAACATATTTATGTTTTTGTTGTAAACTTTTAGGAGGCATTGCATTGTGTTTCCTCCAAGAGTGTTGGACAAACACTATCAGAAACTAAAAGATAAGGACGAGCGTTTGTTCGAGCTGAGCCGAAGGCCATTTCCCACATTCAATTCTCCCTATTTCCCTTCGAAAGCTGTTTTCAATCAAATATCTCCTATTCAATTTGAAGAAATATACGGTGAGTAAATAAGTTTGACTTATACATGATAGAGAAGTTATCATTTTATTCTGTTTCGGTGGTTCGGTGTCCTTCGACCGAAGGTCAAAATCAACCAATTATAACTTGTGTTTCTTTAAAATGTTTATAGTTGTTAATTATGCGTCACATTTGAACGAAAATGAAACCCACCAATATCGAAGAAAGGAGCTGATGAACAAAGTAAACACCATGAGAAGATATGGAGTTGAAGCATCAGCCAGTTACTACAATGAGGGAAAGGTAGTGAATAATGAGTATGATCAATGTTTTTACAATGCAAATCCAAAGCCTTCTATGGTTTGGTTGGCTCAAAATAGTGAACATGAGAGCCCTTCAAGTTCGAAGTGGCCACTTTTTTAGTTATCACACTTGATCAAATGAACTCTAAAGCTTCCTAAATTTAATGAACGAAATTGTAAATGATATCCGTATAGTTTACTTTTATTAATTTTTATTCTCACATAGTCAAATCATGTCAACCAGCTCCAAGAAATTAGACCAAGAAGAAAATGACAATAATCGAAATAAAAACAAAAAAATTAGAAATACTATAAAGTTGTAGGTGATTTAAAATCAAATAATACCATTGCAAAAACCTAAAACAATAGGGTACAAAATAAGTATTGTTCCAAATATTTACAAACTAAGAATGGGTGCGGGAGAACCAATACAAACGCAACCCAAACGAAATACAAAATAACATTGATGCCCCAGGTTGACACATGTGATAGCACAGCTCCCAAGCACCTGCCCACCTTGACCGATACCTGAAAAAGAAAAGAGAAAATGGGTGAGTATAAAATACTCAATAAGTATCCTACCTATAGGCCCTCATCGTATCCTTAATCTAATATTTTTCAACAAGCTTGTCATAGGGTTCTAAGAAGTTCAGGCCTAGTTCAGGTATCTCTTGAATGTTACCTCACACCAGAGTTGTGTCTATCATGAGCTAATCTATTTGTGTAGTCCCTCGTCTCCTCTCGGAGTGGGTTTCCCCCACACACAATAGTAGCTTCTCAATATATTACTTATGTGGTTTCTCGTCCACTCTCAGTCGGGTTTGTTCTATAAACAATAGTATATCCTCAATCAACAACCTATGTAGTCCCTCGTCCCCTCTCAAGGCAGGTTAACATACATACAATCGTGATTTCTCATTCTATCTAATTACGTTGTCCCTTGTCCCCTCTCAAGGTTGGTTATCATACCTATAGTAACAATTTCTCATGTCACCTACTTACGTAATCAAGCATCTCCTGTCAAGGCGGGTTATACTCTAGACATAGTGGTGGGTTTTTGGGTCGTTATTTATGTTGTCCCTCATCCTCTATCAGGGCAGGTTATATCCTACACAAAGTGACTCCCCAAATAATTTCGTTCGCCAAGTGATTGGTCGCCTCAGCCAGATGAATTTTTCCTCCGCGCGCACGAATTCGTCTAGTGCAAATTTTTAGATTCTGATGATAAAATTTAGTTCAACCTGTGTTCTTTGGACTTTCATATCTTCATGAACACAACTCGAATTGAATTAATTTCTTCACGAAAGTTGTAGAGTTTCATCCCTCTATACAATGTTGTTTTGATGGAGAAAAACGATGTTTTGACGGAGGCGGAAATCATTGACGAGAAAAAAGCTGATGGAGAGAGAAAATTGCCCTTAAGACCAAATGATCTTCTTTATCATTGAGTTGAGATATTTAAATAATCAATTACATTCTAAAAAAATGGGAGAAGTGGGCAACTTAATTAAAGCTTCCACAGTGGACTTCTCACACAATTAATTGTATGGGTTTAGGGACAAAATAGTTATCTAAAAAATAGTAACTAAAAACTAAGAATGATTTTCAATCTCGGAATTTATCTAGCATACAATAGTATTCTTTTTTTTTTCTTTTAATAATTGTTAGATACTAGCTGACTTATATAAGTACACTCAAACATTGAAATTTATGGGTTCTTGTAATTTTATTCCGATTTCCTTCACAAAAATGTGCAAAATCATACTAAGATCAACCTACTAAATTTACAGAGACTAATTTATACATATGGTCACGAAGACCTAAAATCCCATGGGACTCACCTTTTTTTCTATGTTATTGACAAAATAGAATGAATCCAATGTTTCGAATGAATCTCCTCCATCTACCTAGAGTTTCTTAAAAAAATGGTCTTTTTGTTGTTTATGCTTATTTTTTCCTTTCTAAAATTTTTGTTCAAAGGCCTTGTGTCCTTATAAACAACTTGATAGAGCATTGATTAAATCATTCGGGAGCCTATCTTTTACTAGAATCTTTTAAACTTCATTTGAGCACCTTAAACTAAACTTATTCGAGCATCTTAACCTTGTGGATCTTACAAACGAATTTCTAAAGCTTCCTAGAGAACAGTGTTAGAGGTTTAATGAACAAATAAACGTAAAATACATGCTAGATAAAATAGGTGAGGTCGAGTTTCAGACCCTCAAAACCGTGGTGCATGCATCTCCTCCCTTTCTATAGGTAGGAGATGATGACGCGGCCCGTTCAACTAAACCAACCACCCCTTTGTTTTAATTTATTTAAGCCTTAATTTAACTGAGCTTCCAAACATGATAGAATTAGTAGTCACCTCGAAATTCTCACAAACTTACTTGTAGGGATCACTTAGATAAGCCTTCAAAAGTTAATTTTACTTAAGTCTAAGTGAATAGGAAGAGTTTAGGACATGAACCACACATTAAGGACATAATAAATGGTCTTACTCGGTGGTAGGGGTGCACATGGTCCAAGTTGGGTTGAGTTGAGAGATTTTTTTAGACCAACCCAGAAGTTCGGGTTGGTTGAATTGGTAATCCAACCCAACCCGAAAATTTTCACAACCCAACCCAACCCAACCTAATCCTCTATTTCCTGGTTGGGTTGTCGGATTGTTAAAAAAAAAAAAAAAATCTTAAAAAAAGTAGTATTTATCCCCAATTCATAATTATTCGATACAATCTTAGATAAAAAGATGTTAAACCTTTAACCAATAAACACAAATCAACCTATAATCATTTAAAAAACAAATCCATTAATAAACAAATGAAAATGGTAGCATCCTAATATAATTAGAGAGCCTCGATGAAGTTATTAGTTTAAAAGTACTTTTATTAGAAAGTTCTAAAGTATTAAAAAAATAAAAATATATATAAAAGTTGTGATATAATAAACGTGGTAACAAATAGATAATAAATACATTAGAATTTATAATTACTTTTTAATTTTTATAACAAAATCTTTAAATCTATTGAAATCAAATTTTGTGTCCACTATTTTAGAGGTTAAAGAATTCTTAAAATAATAAAAAAATTTCTCGGGCCTGTATTATATGTTGATTGAGAAGTGACAGTACACATGGTCAAAATATTTTGGACAACATATTTACTTACAAACAATGATAAAATTGATAGAGGGAAAGTAAAAAAAATTTCTAAAAAACATTAATAGTAGCTTTCCTACCCACACAAATAGAATTTCCCATTTCAAAAAATTCATTTGTTAGTTTATTTAGATTAATGTGTTTTAAAATAGTATGAAATATTAAGGTATTTAAAAAATTATATATATATAAAAAAAAACTAAACAAAATTAGATAATTAAAAGAATTAATGTATTAGACTAGCATCTTGCATGGAAGATAATATATTTCATAAAACTAAAGTACCACACTGACAAAGCCATTATTACTATAAACTTCCTATTTATTTATATATTTTTATTTGGTTTGGCGGAAAGTTTTGTCCCATAAACCTAAAATCGAATCAAAATAGTTCGGGTTTAGAAAAATAAACCCAACCCAACTCAACCCTTATAGTTCGGGTTAGGTTGGTTCGAGTTGTTGGGTTGTCGAGTTGAATGTACACTCTCGAAATTTGTCTGCAAATTCGAATAGCTGAAAAATAAGAAATTTAAATTAAATTATGGTCTCCTCAATAGTATTTTCGTAATTTTGCATCATCGACACTTTTATCACATCACTCTTTTTATGGAATTTGTTCAATACTTTATTTATTTATTTAAAGTAAAATCAACCGTTAATAGCGCAATAAATAAAGTTTATGGGAGCGTATAAGAATTTAATTCAAAATTTTAATCTTAAAAAAAGATAAAGGATTTAATATTTTCAAAATCTATTTAATTTCTTTAAATTCTATTCGCTAAATTCAAACTAAAAAATAAAGATTGAAATTGTTCTTGAAGTCATAAAAAAATATCATTTATCAATTTGAAGTTCTCTAACTCTCTCCATCTTCCTCTCCGGTTCTAGATTCGATTTTTCTAAATTTTTTAATTCTTTAGTTCTTCATTCTTAGTTCTTTTTCTAAACGATTCAATCGAGATGGCAGAACAAACCAAACTTCAAAGAAAAAGGCTTCATACATTGTAACAAAACATTGTAATATCGATAAAAAAGAGTTATGGGTATCTATTTTGACCCCTATGAAACTTTACATTTGAGTTGGTCGTAAAGGGTTTATTCGTCAAGAGGCAGCTATGCTATGAGATCTCGAGCAATGGGTGCAGAGTAAAAATTGAAATTGACTGGTCAAATATCATAGGAATAAGAGCTGCAATGAAAGAAAACGAACTAGGAGTTCTTGAGGTGGAGGTTGCTTCTTTTTTTTTTTTCTTTTCTTTTCAAATATGTTATAAACTATTTTAATTAGAATATTCGAATTTTGTAGCTATAAGAACCATCTAAATTTTATAAGGAACTCGGGCGAAAAGACGTGGGCGCACATAGCCAATGGGTCAATGGATCGGATTTCACCCGAGGCCAGGCTTCTACATGCAGGTATGAACGATCTATTTGATTTTAAATGGTTAAAGACATGCTCGTAAAAGTTTGATTATATAAACGATACGATTTTGATCGTTTTAGGAGGCATTTCATTATGTTTCCACCAACCATTTTGGACAAACACTTTGAGAGATTGATAAGATTTGATGAGAGATTGTTCATGTTAAGCCAAAGACCGTATCCAACCTTCAATGTCCCTTACTTTCATTCAAAACAATTTTTACAAACGGCTCTTCAAACCCTCATTACAATGTCTTCAACACATCAGATTCAAATGCTCCAACCTGCTGATGCTGCTCCCAGCTCACCATGTCCAGGTATTTACTTCGATATTTTGAGTTGGTTAGGTTAGTGACTCAAACAACCCAAATAGAGTTTACAATCCAATCCAACCCATCCTAATTTTGTATTTTCGGGTTGGGTTGAGTTACCCAAAGACCCTTGTCTCAAAAAGTAAAAACATTGTCAATGGTACCTATATGAAAAATGACCCGAAAATGGCTTGAAAACTAAATTATTTAAGGATGGTTAAAAATAACTTAGTTTTTTTACCTA